GTTCACAGATATCAGTATATATAGTTAGTCAGGGTGAGAATCTTTCCAATTAACTCCTAGATTAAAGAATCTTCTGAATATTCTCCGGATCATTTGTGCTGCAGCTTTTGTTATTAATTCTTTGTTGTTTTTTTAAAAAAATTATTTTTTATTTATTTTTAAAAATTCTTTGTTTTTAACAATTGTAGTATTAAATTCTGCTTTAGAAATCTGTTAGAAGTTCCAAAAAAATTATAGAAGTGATATTTGGAAAAAGACTATAGGAAAGCATTTCTACAAATACTACCCCTCTGAAGTTCTACTTCCTTATTTTAAAATTATAAACAGTATTGAAAATGTCAAGTCTCCCACATGTACTTATAGATGGCTTCTGCCCACTGCAAGTTGGCATCTGGGCTCTTGGGTGGATGGGGAGCTGCCCAACTGCTAAGCCCAGTGCTCAACAAGGGCCAACTATCAGTCATGGTATTGTCTTACTTGATGTGATAGTCACTGCTCTGTGGAGGGGGCCTCTAATGTAAGAGTGTGCTGTTATTTGCAGACCTTGCAAACTGCTGGGCCCTACGCAGTTTTCTTTTTTGTGGTGGTCATCTTCTTGGGCTCCTTCTACCTGATTAACTTAACCCTGGCCGTCGTCACCATGGCTTATGAAGAGCAGAACAGAAATGTAGCTGCAGAGACAGAGGCCAAGGAGAAGATGTTTCAGGAAGCCCAGAAGCTGATAAATGAGGAGAAGGAGGTAGGCATGTGTGGAGTTGGGAGGTGTGTTCTGTATAGAGGGTAAGACAGGTTCTGAAGACAGTGTGACTTGATGCTGAAAATTGCTTCATGGAGGCTGGTCTCAGCACTTTCTGTACTTATGCTTTTCTGAAATTTTAAGTTGTTGTCAGACTGACTGTTGCTATCTCTCTCAGAGTTGTCCAGGGAACATTAATCTTGGTGCTCTTTGCCTTCCTGAATGCTGCATCTTCTAAACATGTCCTAAATTAGTACTAGAAGATTTGATTTATGTATATGTAAATCCAGGCTCTGCTCCAGCTTTTTTGGTGGAAATTTGGAAATAATTTTGTTTAGGGCCTTTGCTTGGAAATGAGAGAGGGTTTAGAACAAGAGGTACATTATTTCTCCCTTCTCGTAGTTTCTTCTATTTATTGAGTTCCAAGCCTGTAGCAGGTGTAGGGCTAAGGCTTAGTGATACAGGGGTATGACTGAACCCTACCTTCGGCAGTGGAAATCTCTGCAAAGCAGGACCTGTTTCCCTAGAGGAATAATGACAGAGCCATTTTGTTCTAATTATATGATAAGCAAATTAAGTGACATGATGTTTCTGTGAGAGATGAGGGTGTGCTCACAAGGTTTTTTTTTTTTCAGCTGTGGTGTTTTATGGAAAAGTATAATCTGTTCATTAATTGCTTTTCTTTTTCACTTTCTTAGGCTTTGGTTGCCATGGGAATTGACAGAAGTTCACTTAATTCCCTACAAGCATCATCTTTTTCCCCAAAGAAGAGAAAGTTCTTTGGTAAAAATAAAAGAAAATCTTTTTTTTTAAGAAAATCTAAGAAAGACCAAGCTCCAGGATCAGATTCTGATGAAGACTCCACAAAACATGTAAGTATCATCCAAGGGATTAATGGTACCATAATGTTGCCTTGGAGACAAGTCTATTGATAATCTATCTGAGAGGATTCATTTACTCATTTTCCATTCATCCATTTGCATGTACTTTCATATATTGATATGTCTGTTCAGTTATCCATTTTCATAAATATCTATTTAAACTGTGTACATTGCTTACTATCTGCTGGAGAAACACGCTTCCTACACCACTGAGTTTACAACTAATGATGAAGACCCACAAATAAGGAGGCAGCGTGATAGTCATTGTGGGAAACCAGAGGCGGAGCAGTAGGTCAGTGTTATGTCCCTCTAAAGCAAACCCAGAGACCTTAGGGCAAAGTAGAACATTTGGAAAGTTATCTCAGGAAGTACTGAAGTGATATGAGAGGAAAGGGACCAAAGAAGGTTCCTTAACAAGCCAGTTACCAGTGATTGTAGTTGAGGTTTAATCCCCTAGAATGCAGATTTTAGAGCAAATGTGTACCAACTTTGTTCGTTTGTTTGTAAATAGCTCTCACCATGTAGTCTAGGCTGGCCTCAAAGTAGTCCAGGCAGACCTGAAAAGCACAGAGATCTTTCCTGCCTCAGCCTTCTGAGTGCTGAGATTACAGGTGTGCACTACCAGGCCTAGCTTTATATATAAATTTTGACCAGCTGTTGGTTACAGATTGCTGGAGACAGGGAAGCCATAATTTTCCTACATTATTAACTTGTAGCGCAACAGGGCAGAGGGGCTCAGATCATCAGAGAAAGCTCTTGTGTATGGGTAAAGGACATATAGGAGAAAAACTAACAAGGTCTGTTTCAGGCAGTCAACCCAGCCTTGGTGGGTTACTGGAATAAGAGTAGTAGGTCAGACAAGAGCTCCCAGAAGAACAGACCATATCTTAGCTGGATGGGCAAATTTAATAGGCAAAAGAAAGAGTAGAGCATTACTAGTGAAGAGAAGAGTGCATACAAAGTGGTAAGATATAAAGCACCACAATAGACCTTGAAAAACAAGCACAGGAGTTCACCCTTTACCTGGAAGTTGAGGACAGAGTTAAGAAGCATTGAAAGATTTTAAGCAAGAGAATGACATGACCCATGTACACTAGAGGCAATCAGTGAAGAGGTTGCCACAGTTACCCGAGTAATGCTGACAGTAGCTTATACTGAGATGAGGGCAGTGAAGATGAAGAGATATAAACAGATCACATGATCCACATGAGATAAAATTTGGCAGTTGAGTTACGTAGAGGGTAGACCTGAGGCCTAGCTTACAATTTAGGCAGATGACTTGATAGAGGGTAATTTACTGAGACAGGAAAAGGATGTATCCTAGGGGTGGAAAAGATGGCATGTTCAGTTTTGGATGTGAGTTCTAAAGTGCCTGTATGACATTGCAGTGGGGATATTTAAGTGGACAATGACATAGGAACAAGGCTATGAGGACGTTCATTTTTATTTTATTTTGCATGGCTGGGGATCAAACTCTGGACCTTGTACTTGCTAGGCAGGTGCTTATGCCACTGAGCTATTTCCCCAGCTCTTATGAGGATGTTCAGTAGACAGAGTTATTCTTATTAAGGTAGAGGATGTTAAGACATGTTTTAATAATGAAGATACAAGTCAGAAGAAAGGAAAATGTTGGGACACAAGCCAAGGAAGATAGCTGGCTCTGAAGTTCAGGTTGGTTAGAGCCCTGGGAAAATAGCCATGCTGAATACTTAGTTTCCAGAGTATCTGATAGTTTATATTCTTTAATTTGCAGTGATTTAGAACTGTAGAAAAGGTCAGCAAGCCTTTGCAGGTATAGTCTGACAGAGTACTTGAGATTTAGTATACAGATTTTGTAATATTTAGTTTGACTGTTCTTTTTATTTGGAAATCTGTACAGGCAGCTTTTCAACATACTTTCCTATATAGGAATCCAGCTTCATAAACTCATCCCTCTACATCTGTCCTTTGCAAATATTGTTTCCAAATTAGATTTCTTTTCATTTTATACCATGAGCCATTGCTCACTAGTTTTTGTAAAATTTCATTGGCAATGAGTAAAGCACAGGAAAAACAAAATTTTTCTAGATAGAACTCTAGAGATATCCATCTATAGAAAATGGCCAAACCACACTTCCCTGGTCTACTAAACATGAAGAAAACTGAATGTATGGTGTGCTATGAATAGGTAAACTGAGTTGACCTATATAAAACATCGAACACCATTATTCCATAGCACTGAGGCAAAGCAGTTCAGAAAGTCCACCACCCCTTCTCTTGCAGCCACCTCTCATAGAACAAACCAAGCGATTGTCTCAGAATCTTCCAATAGACGTCTTTGATGAGCACGGAGACCCCTTACAAAGGCAGAGGGCACTGAGTGCTGTTAGCATCATCACCATCACCATGCAGGGTAAGTTCCCCTCCCAGTCCAAGGGAAAGTGTAACATGTAGTAATGTTCTCCCATTCCCTGCCTTAGTGATCCAGACAACCTCCACAAAGAGGTCTTATAGGAATCATTCCTTTTTCCAGTCCTTAGCAGTGACTTCCTGTGCCTCTTCAAAGTTTGTAAGCAAAGTGACCTAGAGGAAGTGGATCCTCCCTGAGCTAAATGCCACTCTGAGCAGGCCCTTGCATAAGGATGGAAACTGGCTAGATGTGGGATAGGACTTCAGACTGAAAGCATGAGAGAGCACCATAAGCAGGTGAGGCAGTCACAGGCGGTCTGAGTGGCAGTGAGAGTCAACCAGAGAAGACTAGATTTTTCTAGGAAGTTGCAGTTGTTATTGAAGTTAAGAGTCCGAAATTCAGCATGGGCAACAAATGACCAGTCCATCTGGATCCTGATTAACACCAGGTAATATTGAGGGTTGGTGTTCAAGTCCCTCCCTGTTCTTCAGTTCAGATGGGCCCGTTAGCATTTTTTGAGCCTATTGCATCACCTTATTTGGCTTGCCTAAGTCCCTGAAATGGTGCCAAGGGAATTGGGATGCAGCTGCCTAATGGCTTGAACTCAAGTAACTGGTACACTTGCCTGACTATCTTCCCATCCTCCAAGTACTGGTAGCACCCCATTTCTCTGTTAGGTCATCATCATAGTCTTTCTTCAGATGACATGTCTTATGCGTGTCCCTTTCTCTCTTGGGTTCACAGTTCTCAAAGTGCAAAGATGATGTACTTAACTATAACAGCTGCTAGCTGTATGTGAGAAACTGTCCCAGCCACACTGAGATTGGGAGGAAAACCCTTCACTTTATGCAAGTCAGTCTGACTGATCATTGATCATAAGAGACATGGGGGGAAGAAGAGAGAAGAAGAAAGGTACTCAGCCAAAGAGGAGCCAGGCCAATTTGTAGCTAATTCCTCAACTTCTGCTTCTCCTCCTTCTCCAGAACAAGAAAAGCTGCAGAAGCCTTGTCTCCCATGTGGGGAAAATTTGGCATCCAAATACCTTGTGTGGAACTGTAGCCCCAAGTGGTTGTACATTAAGAAGGTCCTGAGGATTGTGATGACTGACCCCTTTACTGAGTTGGCTGTCACCATCTGCATTATAATCAACACTATCTTTTTGGCTATGGAGCATCATAAAATGAGTGAAGAATTTGGGAAGATGTTGAAAACAGGGAACTTGGTAAGTTTTGTAAAATATAAAACATATTCCAAAATTTGAATTACAAGTCTTTTAAAGTCAAACATTTTGTAAATAACCTAAACTAGGCCTTTTGTCTTTGTAAGTAGAATATAGGGAAAAGGTGACATTTAGGGTTTTATTTTAACCTGCTCATCTCAGTAGTCTTCCACAGGCCCTATGTTGGCTCTCTAGTACATTATAGCATCTCTGTAGTCACCCATTGGTAAACTACAATAAGTAGAAATCTTAAACATACAATTGTTTAGGGTGATCAGGAAAGTGTTAATGCTATCCAAAGACCCATGGTCCCCAGTGATATGGATAGTATCATCTGTCAGAAAACAGTTTGACTACCATTACCAGGTGTTCTCCTGGGAGGTGAGCTGGGCCTGGCAGATGTGGCAGGCTCACATTCCTGGGTGTGTGGAACATTCAGGTTGAGGGAGGACTGAACTTTCAGATTTGGCTTTTTAGTAAGTTTCTCAATGGGTAGACCTTGTTTCTTTCTTTCTTTTTTAATTCAGAAGGTTCAACAGTTTATTTTTTATTTAAAATATTTTATTTTTCTTATTCTAGAATTCTTTTTAAATGAAATTAACTCATGCTACAATGCTGTATATGGTTAGATTTCTAAACTTCTGTGTAAAAATATGTAATTGTTTATCCCTATTTTAAAAAATATATATTTTTAATTTTTTTCTTCATATTCTGTAGGGACTTAAAGTTTAACATATCAATACTTGATGGAAAATACCTGTTCCATGTTATGCCTAAGATGTTTGATATTCAGACAGATAGTGAGGTTAAGCTCAACTGCCTTGGTTGTAGGGTAATAACAATGAGCTTCTGTTCTGGAGGGTTAACAACCTAAGTTTGCAGACCAAAAATTAGAGAAAAAGGAGGGCTGCCAGGACAGCCAACATTTTGACCCTACCCTTTCAAGGTCAGTGAAGACTCAGGACATAGAAGAACCTCTACTATAATATCATGTAACTCAGTTGTGCCCCAAATTTTCTGATCAAGAAGATTATGAGGCCACAGAGCGACATGATCGATGATGTAGAGTGTGCCTAATGAGAGTCACGTGGAGAGAAAACATTCTCTTAGGCTTTCACAGAGAGCAAATTGGTCAAGCAATGGCTGTGACTCATCCACATGGCTGACACTGACAAAGGATCTACAAACTGTGGTACAGGGTTTCAGGATAAATCCTGAGGGGATTTGACTGACCTTGTCAGATACAGAAGCTACATTTCTTGTTATATAGGTCTTGCTTTATCTTGGTCTTAACCATCCAGCAGGAAAGTATAAAAACGAAGTATAAAAAGTAAAGCCATATTAATATGGTGAGCTGTGAGAGGCTCAAGTCAACAACTTCTGACATTTCCAGTCTTAGGGAAAACCCACTACTATTGTGGACTAGTGGACTATATTGGAATATTTTGCTGAATTCAGGCACCTACAATATTTAAATGACAATGGAATACCCATCTCTGACAAAACTAAACAAAAAAAGGGGATACAAATGATGGACCATTTTGTATCTGCATATTCAAAATAGGTAGGATAGATATACAGCTGCATTCTCTTAATTCAATGAATAGAAATATCTGTACTAATAGTGTTTGTGGATAGGATATCATGTCTGCATCTTGTACAATGAATAACCACTAAGATAACAATATGCAATGTATTAATTATTGAAACTGGCTTAATTGGATTTGAAACTGTCTCATTGCTATTTGTTTCTCAATAAAATTATTGAAGAAAAAGAAATTAACAGTGGTTATTATATTGCATATTGTTATCTTCAAAGTAGTTGCTCAGATTACCACATATCGGCATACAAAACTGATCAGACAATATAAGCACTGTTCCTTTGGATGAATTAATAGAAATTAGTAGTATAGTCATCTTAGCTCTCATATATATAGTTACTCCCCTGCCTTCCTTCTTTTCTCCTTTCTCCCATCCCAGTTCTCTCCTTTAGAGCAGTTTCTTTCCCTTTCACAATACCTATTGTACCTTTTGGATCTTATTTACACTTCTAGCTTCTTACGCTAGGGAGACAATGTAATGTTTACACATATGAGTCTGATTTATTTTACTTATAACTCTACCAAAACATGTGGGATGCAAGGAAAGCAGTCCTCACAGGGAAATTTATAGTGGTGAATTCTCACATCAGGAGAAGAGAATGAGTACAAATAGACAACTTAATGCTACACTTCAAGTTCTAGAAAAAGAAGAGCAAGTCAAGACCAAAAAAGAGAGGAAATTATATGGACCTTGTTTCTGTTAAACTGAGAGAACTAAGTTAGGGAAGCAGATAAAAGGAAGGCATACTGAAGTGCTGTCACAAAAGAGGGTGTTTCTAGCACAGGAACATGAGGGTATATTGTACCAATAGCGCAAGTGCTTTTCATTTCTTTGTAGCCTCTATAATTCTCTGGGAATATTCTTAAATTTTTACTCACATGAAAGATACCTACCTTTACTCATTTTTTTTCTTTTTGTCCTACTGTAGGTTTTTACTGGCATTTTTACAGCAGAAATGTGCCTTAAAATCATTGCACTTGACCCCTACCACTATTTTCAGCATGGCTGGAACATTTTCGACAGCATTGTTGCTGTTGTGAGTCTTACAGAAGCCATTGTTGGAAATGATACAAAAAGCGAAAAAAAGACATTCCTGCATTCCTTCAGAGTGGTAAGGCTTTCTTATTTCACTGCCCAACTCAGATGTCCAATTGGAAAGAGTCATGAATGAGTTCCATGATTATCTTGGACTAAATCTTAATTCATCTTAACTACAGAACAAAATTGGTACTCCTTTTCCTTCTACTTGTCTTCAGTGGCCTCAAGAGTCCCAGAAAGTCTTCTCACAGATGAACCCCTCACACCATACCCCTGCTAAGATGGACCATAGGCAACTAAGTGCAGACCATATCTCCCTGGTGATCACATTTCAGTTACATCTAATCCAGGAACAGGGACTGTCAACTTGAGGGAGAACCTGATGAGACTGCCACATATCACAGAGGATCACTCTCAGTACCTCTTCTCATTTCTAGGTAGAGCAAATGGCTCTTGTTGTTAGTGTTTTCATATACAAACATTCATTTTCTAGGGACTTAGGAATCTAACTGCAGGAAAGGAAAAGCCTAAGCTACAGAAGCTTAAAGAAAGGGAGGGAGACAAGGGAGGAAACAAGATAAACTACATTTCAGAGGACAAGGGATTGAAGAAAGGTGGGAGAGGGGGAATAAGTCTTGAATAGACTTACTAAAGTCCAGGTTCTGATGCTTTTTATCTTTTGCTACTGGCTCACCAAGAGATAGTGTGACAGGGCTGGGTTTTTTCTTGTTGTTTTGATAAAACATTCTGTGGAGTCTCTTCATCTGCTCCTTTATCTTAGGATCAGGTTCCTGGTCTTTACTTTCTCATTTAAGCCAATTCATGGACTTTCAATATTCCTGAGGAATTTTGTTATGAGTCTGGTATGGAAGGAGCCTAAGTTTATCCCAAGTGATGCTGACATGGATCACCTTGGGTAACTTTGGCTGGGTCCTAGAAGTTGCAGAGTTCTTAAAAGTATACGCTTTTGTTATGATTTCTTTGTCTAATTTTTATGTATCTTTTATTGTTTCTCTCATATCTTGAATGATATGTCAATTCTTTATGTTATTTCTTGACGAACTGGGGTTCTGTTCAGTAAGCTTGCCCATGCTGATGTCTTTACATATACCTATTTTCTCTTCTAGAAGATTCAGAGTTTTTGTTTTTATGTTCAAGTCTTTGATCTGTTTTGATTTTATTTTACTACAAGGTAAGAGATATAGGTCTAGATTCATTTTTATGCATGTAGATAACCAGTATTATCTGCAACATTTATGATAGATGTTATATTTCTCTATCATGTTTTTGGTCCTTTTGTCAAAGAGCAAATGTTTCAGTGTGCATGGAGTTGTTTCTGCATCCTCAATTCTATTCTGTTAGTCAGTAGGTTTTTTTTTGTGTGCCAGTATCATGCTGTTTTTATTATTGTAGCTTTATAGGATAACTTAAAAACCAAGGATTGTAATTGTAATGCTTGCTGCTTTGCTTTTTTTGCTTGGGATTGTTTTGACTTCTCTGAGTCTCTCTGGTTTCATATAAATTTTAAGAGATTTTGGTACTTTTCTTGAAGAATGCTAACAGTATTTTTATTGGAATTCTATCAAATGCATATATTATCTTTGGTAATACAGGCATTTTGACAATGGTAGCAAGTAAATTTAACATGGGAACCATGTTTTGGAGGGAACATTCAAACTCTGAACTCTGGGCTCCTCCCAAAGTCACACTCTTCTCAGATACAAAATAGATCTTATCCCTCAATAGTTCCAAAGGTTTTCTCTTTCTTATCTTTTATTCCTTTTAAATTTTTTGTCTCTTACTTATAAAATTCTGCATATTTATGGGGTACTTTATGACATTTTGATGCATAATACATTATGTGATTTTCAAGTCAGGGCATATTTATCTCCTCACATACTTGGTTTTTTTTTCTATTTCCATTTTTTTCTTTTTAAAAAATTTTTATTTATTTATTTATTTTTTGTAACAGGTATTTTCCATCAGATATTGATATGTTGAACTTTAAGTCCTTACAGAATATGAAGGAAGAATAATTATATAAAAGTAGAAATAAGCATTTACATATTTTTACAAAGAAATTTAGAAACGTAGTCATACGGAATTGTAAGTCCTTATATTAGGGAGATAATACAATATTTACAGATGTGGGTCTGGTTTATTTCACTAATAAGTATATCTTCAAGGGGCATCCACTTAAATATGAAGGCTTCAAGTTTATCATTCTTTATAGCTGAGTAGTACTCCATTATATAAAAGTACCACATCTTTTTCAACCATTCCACATGTGATGGAAATTTTGGTTGTTTCCAAGTTCTGGCTATTACAAATTGTGCTGCTATAAACATAGGCCCACATATATCACTATGATATGATGCTTTCAGTTCCTCCTGGAAAATTTCCAGTAGGGGGATAGCAGGCTTGAATGGAATTTCCAGTCCTAGTTTTCTAAGGAGTCTCCACACTGATTTCCATAATGGTTGCACCAGTCTACACTCCCACCAACAGTGGAGAAGGGTTCCCCTTTCCCCACAGCCTCTCCAACATTTGTTGTTGGTTGATTTCTTTATGTTAGCCAATCTTTCTGGGGTGAGATGATATCTCAGCATTGTTTTAATTTGTATTTCATGGATGGCTAGTGATGTGGAGCATTTTTTCATATATTTATTCTCTTCTTTAATTTCTTCCTCTGAGAAGTGTGTGTTCATCTCGGATGCCCACTTCTGGATTGGGTCTTTAAATTTAGGGGCCCTAATGTTCTTTAGTTCTTTATATATTCTAGAGAGCAGACCTTTGTCTGAGTGCTCACATATTTGTTTTTTATGGAGAAATCACTCAAACTTCCTTTTTTATCTCTTTTGGAATATATGGTGGATTATAGTTTTCTATGGCCATCCTACTGTGCAATCAAACAGTAGAAATTATTGCTCTTAGAACTTACTATCCACTACTGAATTTTTCTTGACTACTTCCAATTATACCCTCCCCTCTTCTCTCATTGGCCTAGTGCCTACCATTCTACTCCCAACTTCTATAAGATCAATTTTTAAAAATTTTACATGAGTGAGATCATATAACATTTGTCTTTCTGTACCTGGCTTATTTCTCTTATAGTGACCTAAAGTTCCTTCCATGATGTTGCACATGTTTGTGTGTATGATGTGCCTGCACAAACACATGCACTATCATCACATTTTCTTTACCTGTCAGTTAATATGCACTTCTGTTTTGCCATATTTCCATCTTTTGGCTTTTGTGTATAGTGCTGTAATAACTGTGACTGCAGAGATCACTTCAATGTACTGATTTCATTTCCATTTGTAATACAGGAGTGAAATTGCTGGATCATCTGGTAGTTCTATTTTTAATATTGTGGGAACCTCCATGCTGTTTTCTAAAACTGTACTAATTTACATTCCCATAAGCACTGTGCAAGAGGTCTCTTTTTTCTACACATTCACCAGCAGCTCTTTTTTCTTTTCCTTTGTTTTTAAAGAGAATACAAAATAGTAATAAAAAAGAAAAATTTAGAAATGATACAGAATTTCACTAAATAAAATAGTATGAATTCAACAGTGTTTATTGTATTGCATAGTGTTGTCTTCAACTTAGTTTTTAAGATTACCAGATGTATGTATACAAAATTGGAAAAAGAAGAAAATTTAAAAGAAATTGAAAGAAAAACGAAACAAAATAAAAACTTAAAACAGAAAAATTAAGTGTTAACTGCTTCTTTCCAAAGACCAGCAGAAGTCCACAGTATAATTATCTAAATCATCCTGTTTATGTACATTGATAAATCTCATATACTCTCTCTCTCCTCTTCTTTTCCTTCGTTTTGAACAGGTTCATTCCCTTTTCACATTATCTATTGTACACTTCAGATTTTATTTACTCTTTCAGGGCTGGTGAGATGGCTCAGTGGTCTAAAGCACCTACTTAGAACAAGCTTAGCAAAGCACAGGGACCGTGGTTCAATCCCCAGCACCACATGCCAGCCAGCCCTGCCCCCAGGTGGGCTGAGCTGGCCACACACACAAAAAAAATAAATAAAATATTTACTCTTTCAGGGTCTTATACTAAGGAGACAATATGATGTTTTCACATGTGGGTCAGATTTATTTCACTTAAAAGTATGGTCTCTAGAGGGCTGGCCAAATAGCTCAGTGGATTAAAGCACCTGTTTAGGGCTGCCAGCCTTGCCTGCAGGATGTGCTGAGATGGAGATTGAGACTGGGCATGGTGGCACATGCCTGTAGTCCCAGTGCATGAGAGGTTGTAAACAAGAGGATCACTATGAGTCCGATGTACACAGTGGGACCCTGTAGACCCTGCAGACCCTATACTAAATACATTTTAAAAAAGCATATGGTCTCTAATTGCATCCATATACTGATAAATACATCAAATTTATCCTTTTTATAACTGAATAATATTCCATTGTGTAAAAAGAACACATCTTATATATGACAAATTATGCTGTTATAAACATGGGTGCACATATATGTGTGGTGTGATGTTTTCAGTTCTTGAGGAAAAATACCCATCAGGGCAATTGCTAGATTGAATGGTACCTCCAATTTTAGCTTTTTGAGGAGTCTCCACACTGATTTCCATAGTGGTTATACCAGTTTGCACTCCCAATAACAGTAGAAGAAGGTTCCTTTTTCCCCACAATACCTCCAGCATTTGTTATTGGTTGACTTCTAGATCACAGCTATTCTTTCTGAGGTGAGATGGAATTTCGGTGTTGTTTTACTTTGCATTTCTCAGATGACCAATGATGTTGAACATTTTTTCATATATCCAATTGCCATTTGTATCTCTTCATCTGAAAAATATATATTTATCTCAGATGCCCATGTTTGGATTGGATCTTTGAATTCTGGGGGCCTGATTTTAAAAAAGTCTTTATATGTTGTAGATAGAAGTCCTTTGTATGAGGGATACTTGGCTATATTTTTTTCCTAACTCATGGGTTTTCTTTTTACTCTGTTAGTAAATCTGACTTCTTTTGGCATGCAGAAACTTTTCAAAAAGATGATATCCCCATTGTTAATTCTTTGAAATATT